CGGGCGTTGAGCACGTTTTCTGCGTTCTCACAACTCGGATCTCCTAAGCTGGGACAGACAATCGTGCTTGGTCGCGTCGCCGCGCGCGGCGTATGGTGCGGCCACGCGCGGCAACTTCTCGGTGTGCGTCAGTTTGCTGACTGTAGCAGAGAAATTTATATGAAATCGAACGAAGGTAAGAGTTTGCAAAGGCGATATCGGATTTTCCATTTCTTTAATACTCGTATTCCAACAGCCAGGCAGGAAAACTCGTCTCGAGCACGGCATCGCTCGCCACGCCCACTAGCAGGACATACTGCGATTATTGCAGCATATCCAATAATCTGTGCCGTTCCCAACTTTGATGCATCCCATATCGATCCCATCGAGCTTACAGTGAAGTACAAAATGGAAGAGGAGAGAAGAATTTCACGTGTGTGCGGATGAAGGGGTGAAGGGACGCGGGATGGATTTGGCCCGGTGCCAGTCGGTTCTCTATCAGTGAAGACCGCTACGCATGATGTGATACGGTCTTGTCGCTTGCCCGCTTCAACAACTGGTGGAAACTGGATCTGACGCCGCGCCGAAGATATCTCGCCTGACACGCCCCGTCATTCGTAGCGAACGAGACCGTACTCACCCTGCTCTCACTCTGAAATTTTTAGTTCGTTCCGCTGGAACGGCAACCATATTCTCTGGAACGGGTTCTTCATTGAACGCCAATTGCTCATTTGGTTCACCATATATCTGAAAAGGAACCCAATCAGATCAGATATGAAATCCTTAATAAGATAAGCCTATGTACTGCATACCGCCATAGTACTTTTCCCTGAGTATACGGACTCGTTCTCGGCAGGTTTAAGCTGGTTATCAACATGCATTGTTGTAGCTAGTTCGGTTAGTTGAGTGAGTGAAAATGAACCTCACTCGGTCAGTTGCAGCTCATATGGATCAAACTGATTTGTTCTCGTTTTCATTTCTAAACTCTAGTACGCTGCGGACGGTTGGACTGGTGGAGAACGGGTTTGGCACCGCGCCAAACTCATCCCGCCTGACACGCCCAACCGTCCGCAGCAAACTGTACTATACATTCTTCATTCAGTTATCCTCTATTGTGGGAGGGGGCTTCAGGGAATGAAGGGGGGCACAAGAACCGTGATTTGCTCTCCGCCGCGCGCGGCGATAGCGTGGCGTTTTCTCAACCTGTCGAGTGGAGCACCAGGCTTCATGTAGACCCGTCATCGTAGACATTCATGACTATTTTCGGTTCTGAATTGCCTGTTGTCGCCATCTACTACCTGGAACCATCGTCATTTGCGGGCGCGACGTCGCACGCGACGCCCACCAGCGCGGTGAATTACGATTCTCTTGTCACATACCCGAATGAAGGCACTTTGGGGTTAGCTCATGTCGTGAAGGGAATTCTTGCGGTTTTCTTTGGTGCCCAACTTCAAATCATGGCCCATCATTAGTTGGAGATTTTGATCGCGTCCGTGCGACCCCGCCCCTAAAAGTCACTTGATACGACCACCCTCCCTAGTTCCCTACTCTAATCGAGCTGTCGAGCAGGGAGGGAGGTTACGTAACATATGTTGAGCAGGAAAAACCGCAATACCTCCACAACTGGAAAAGGCCCCGCTCCCATATCTCCCTTTCATAGCGTCCGTGAAACAAGGAAAGTCAACTATCGAAAAAGATTTTTCATCAGACCAAATACGACTCCCTTGTTAGGGAATCCCCCACGATGATATGCCCTGGAGAGTATGAGTCGAAGAGAAGCCGCGTACACCGTTGGAAAATATCTCTTTGGTCTGGACACTTTTTGATAGTTGATTTTCGTTGTTTCACGGACGGGGGGGGGGGACTTTTTTGCTTCGAGATCCAATCCTTGAGCAGGACGGCTTCTGCTCTCAAGGAAACGGTTACCGAGTGGTTTCAGGATATCCGCCAGCCCTGAAGTCTTTCTCCTTCCTCATTCTCTCGTCCCTCTTCCGCACTTCCAGCCTTCAAATGGTCGGCAGAAGTTGCGATGGAAGTCCCTTCGGAACTGTAACTGTAACTCCTCCCCTCCCAACTATAGCCCAGTTTAAAGGTACGGTCCGCGATCAGGTATAGAAGTTGAAAATATGGCGCCGGGAGGGTACTGTAGCACGCGAGGAACAATTCTGTAACGGTTTCGCGACAAAAAAAAACTGGAAAGGAGGGACGCTATAGCGGAATGTTGGTTCAGTGACGCCTACTTTTCCAATAACTCCGCCTCCAGACTCGCCCTCGAGGCCTGTCTCTTCAGTGAAAAACGAAGCTGCAGGACGAAAAAGCATGAAAATCGTCACTTGTACGGTCGCAGAGTTCTTATCGGGATTCAGCTGTGCGGAAAACGGCATAGTGTTGAAGGTGGAGGTAATTGGGCACGTACAAACTGATACCGAATGGGGTTCTATTTGGGGCAGTTGGCATGTTTTTTCTGCTTTTTTTCTTCACTATCGAGTTACTCAGAACCTTGTCGTCTATATGCGAACCCCTAGTCCACTATCTGTGATGGCGAATGATCGCGGGCTTTGCCTTTTAAAGACTCAGGTGGTTGGTGATTTCAAAGGGGTGGCAATGGGGTAAAGAAAGAAAAGGATGTGATGTACTTTGTCAATGCTCTAAATTAGACCACTATTTAGAGGTCGAGCATTATGGGAGTCGTGAGCGAGGAGAAATGGAACGGAAAAGAGAAACAGTCAACGAAATGAGAAGAAAGTGCGCAGCCGAGTGAGCCGGTTACGCGATTCAGCGACCGTGGAAAGAAATTATGTTGCTCCTACATTCGTGGATGTAGCCTAGCGGTAGAGGCAGACCTCTGGCGTCCTTGCTAATCATTTTTGAACCAAACGGCACGTCTTCTACGATTGTGAACCAGCCATTTTGAGAAGAAGGCATACTGCTTGTAACGCTACTGCTGCAGGGTACAGCACAAGGATGGAAGAAAGGCGGTTTCAGACACCCCCTTTCCCAATTCCTTCCTCTTATAAACCATTTTTCAAACCCCTCCTCCCTTCCACTTTCTTCGTACCATCTTTCGCGGCTTTCCCATTTCCCTGCCACTTTTCCCCAGTTTCCAGAAAAAAGTTTCGGTTCTTACCAGAAAAACTATCATTCAACGTGCAAGATGAGATGGTGGAGTGAGGTGCAGTGGGTATGCGGGTGAAACGGGATTAATTAGGAAAAGATCACAACTGGAAGGAAATGTGTCGCGGCACGGGAAATTCCTTTCAAGATCAGATACGACCTCTTCCCAGTGACCACATAGGACCCCTGATGGTGTGCTCCTAACGATTCTGAGCCCTGTAGGACCGATAAGTGCTGGCTGTGTCTTTAAAGGCAGTTGGCACGATGATTTGGTGCTCGGCCTAAAATGCTAGTAGGGCGCTATATAGTGGGGGAAATGGCGAAAGAACGGAGTGGTCAAAATCCTGCGAAGAGCCTCCGTTCTCAGTGTTCAAAATCAATTTTGGACGAGTTTCCCGTAGGCATCTTGCCAATAACCGCTACCGAAGGTACGGCTGCATATGTGTACTCATATATCCATGCAGCATCACGGCCGCTTCATAATTTGCTTAGCAAATGAATGAATACGAGCGTCAGAACGGTCGTCCATTTGTGGGCGGGCGGGCGTTTGGGTCGGAATGTTGTGGCTTGATAGGGCCCTTATACACCTTCCTTGGAAAAGGCATTATGCAGCGCCTGCTCAGGGTCGCGGAATTCCGTCCTGCCAGGCGTATTAATCCTACTCGTCTTCGGGGATTTATCGTGCCAACTGCCTTTAATACACATCTCGGCAGCACTTATCGTTCGTCAATAAAAAAAGTTCCGCGATGCTACTACGTTCATTCTAAGAATCTCTATTTGAGGGAACAGAAGGCTGGCCTTTCTTATGTTTTCCTCGAGTTCGATACTTCAAAATATTTTATTCAGAAACATCACGAAAAAAAAATCAACAGTACCGGTCTATTTCAACTTGAATAGCTTAATAAAATAGAAATCTAACAGCAAAATAGAAACAAACAGAACAACTTCAAGGGTTCCAATTAACAAGAACAATGAAATAATAACAAACAGCATTCATCCCTGACGGCCTTCCAACGTCACAAAACGCAACAAAAAACTTTTCCGTAGAAGAAATTACAATATAACGAACAGTCTCGTTTGAAGCAGTGAAGGTTTTTTAGTAGCAAGAAAGAACAGAGCGCATGATAACGCAGTTCGGTTTGGTGGGGGCAACAAATAGTACTCTGTGAAGCCCGTACAGACCACTCGTGAAAACCTGTACATTCTTGTAACCGACGTACTCACTTTGAACATTTTGCAGCTTTATGAAATTAGGCGGGTTCAGTAACATGAACTACTAAAGGGAACTAGTGAAAGTGCTAAATGCCCTTCCCAAGCCGAACAGCGCTCTCATGATCATTCCATTCACCCATTATCCTCCTGGTTTTGCGCATCACCAGCGCCTACACTAGCACTCTTCTCAGGCGCGACTCCTCCATAAACGGACAATCCGAATACATAAAACGGATCTTTTCCAGCGAGTTGATTCACGTACTTCACAAATGGGAACATATCCTTTTGGCGGTGTACCAGTGCCATGGCGTCAACGGTGGGAGGACAGATAAGTACCTGAAATGGGACTTCTTCAGCACATATTTCTTGTTCGAAAGTCTGTAGAAGGCAGTCGAACGAGCCTTTCAGTCCGCCTTCATATCTTGCTACGCTGAAAAACCAAAGGGTTGGGAATTAAAGCAACTGGGATTTCGCAAAAAGGGAAGTATACGTAAACAACTAGAAAATCCGTGGAGCATATCAGATACGTACTGATTGGTCTTCGATTATCTCACTGGTATCGCTGAACCAATCGATATAAAGCAGATTTTCCAATTCTTCGGAATCTATGTTTGTTCGAACCAGGGCACGCCATCGTGCGATAATTTTCTGCTAAATAGGACCCCCTCCCTTCCTCGTGGTCAACCACGACCTCCGGTAGTGATTACCACAACGTCGCTGTGAACTGGTTCGAATTCCGCAATTCTCCAGTGCCGCAGGGTAAGAAAGCGGCTCTGGGAAGAAGGATGATTCTATCGTGAGCCAACCAGGTCGCGCCGGTTACGCCGCACGCGGCAAGTCGTGCGGCCATTTCAGAGTGCACCACTTTGCCCACACAAGTTGCAGCCAAGGATTGTTCTCGTTCACGACGTGCTCTTCAAGGGCAGAACGATGGATTCTTTCAAAAATTTGAACGAGCTATGAGACACCACAACTCGCACGCGAAGGCTGCGGCGTTGTAGGCCACGCCAACCACCGCTGCGACCCACGATAGAATCGCCACATATTTGCGGCTCTACACTCAGCGACAGTCAGCCGGTAGGAATTTCGATCAAGGGGAACGATATATCTCAAAGGGACCCAGTCAGTTACCTTACAATTCGAGGGGTATCAATCGATGGGTAGACATCAGAGTATTGTGGGAAAGAAATGTGGAGTTGACATTATGCAGGCATAAAACACGGTGTACAGAACCGTACAGTTCCCTCCCGAGAGAAAGCGATACTATCAGCTTACCGGATCCTTTTGATCTTTCCTGATGTAGACGACTGTTCCACCAGCATCCTCTTCCCACTGCGATCTTCCGAAATAAAACTGAAAGTATTCACCCAGCAATCAATTCAACTACTGGTAATCTCATCGAACTAACGTCCAGTTCTATAGATACAAATTTAAGATGAGAGGTGGAGGTAACAGCTGAATACCCTAATTCTCGATCGATACACATATATCCACGCATGACATGACCTCACGCATTCCAGCTTTTCCCAGTAAGACTCATAGACGCGCATTCACGCACCGATACTAAACCACACCCCCCCCCCTTTTTGCGCCTTTCTACAAATGTTGATACTTTCAGAATTTTCAAATATTTGAACTGCTCCGAGCTTCCCCACCCGTCCACTTGTGGAGAACGATTCAGATCGGCAGGCTAGAGTCTCAACTAGCATGTCAGGATCTCGCTCGTCACTCGGAACAAAAAATGACTAAGAGAGAGATATCAAAAAATACACTAACAGTCCTAACGCAGTCACTGACCATACAAAATTATGCGCTACTGCAGTTAATGGGACTACGTGACAACGCAGGACATGCACACTGGCTCTCTAAGCTCTTCTATGGAGACGTGAAAGGATCTTTACCTTGGTGAAAGAGTGCGGAGAAGCGCACATACCATTCAGCACTTGGTTATTGCGCCACTTCATAGCATCTCTTAGCCAAGCGGCATGGACTGCTTACCCACAAATCAGTTGATATTCCATCTTTGAGGAACTGCTCAGCGTCTTCATCGCCAAGTACCGTGTAGCACCTTGGAGTCAGGCGGTAAGCCCAGATCGTAGTTTGGGGGTCTGGAAATCGTACTACATTCAAATGAATGGATCAAAACTTTATGCTTCCTAACCTTCATACTCGAATCCTGTCATCTTCTTGATGAAATCCATCATCGTCTGTGATCTGATGACTTTGACAAACTTAGCTATAGTTTCCTGAGGAATATTCCCCTCAACATCGTACTCCGCTATCCATCTGAAGTGTATTCGCTTTACGAACATGAAAGCATGGAAAGACATAATATAATACAAATATTCGAATGAACAGAGCAAAAAATAAATCATGCAAATGTACTGCAAAACTAATACTCCCTACCTTTTGTTCACAGGACCTTTCTCGGTCCAGCTCACAGAGTCCAACTCATCCAAAATCTTTTCTCGGAATGACTCCTAGAACATTTCCAGTGAAATTCTCCTACATCAAGCACAAAAAAGAAGTTAGTAGTGTCGCATTCGTGAATAAAAGTTATGTGAATGAACTTTAAAGTTTCTTAATGACCTTGAAGACACACTCCACAATAGCAACATGATGGCAATTCGAACTTGATTTGAAGGCTCTATTTGAGTTACCAGTGAAGAATATATATTGGATGAAAACTGAGAGGCGCCTTATATAAGAGCAATGGACGAGTATTTGAAAAGCGAGATACTGTTGCAAGTAGAGAGATTAGAGACACAGCATGACAGAGCAAAGGCGACATGGGAGGCGAGCAAGACCAAAACGATAGCCCCTACACAGAATGCACGCCGCGCATCCATGTGTCTTAGACAGCGTTCAGACTTCGCGACGTAGCGCTATGGTCGCCTAATCGACGCGATCGATGCAGTCGAAAGCATGCGCATCGATCGCGTCAAACGCGCGACCGAAGCGCTGCCGTCGCGAAGTCTGAACGCTGCCTTAGATTATTAGGATCGCTGTCATACTAAACAGATAGGGGTAGCAGCTTCTTGCTGGGTTGCATTCCTCAAAGGCAGCGCCCGCGTTCAAATTTGATGAGTATGCGGCTCAGGTAGTAATAGCAAGGTAGCAAGAAACCTATTAGTGAAGAAAAATCAAAAAGAAAACATGCAAAATGCCCTATAAGGAGTTTCATACCGAATAGCGGTTGTACGTGCTTAAGGCGAAGAGAAGGAGTGGTTGCACGAGTTCTCACTTGTTGATTTCAGCTGTTTCCCCTTATCACCTCACTCTCACCACACGACGTGGAGAGAAGCAGCAATGGAACAACCGCACCATCAGGCAACCATTAGAAATGAAGTTGGGCGTCGTGGTCGCCAGGTGGGCGGGGCGGTCGACTCTTTACTAGCGATAGGCGCTATCCTCTCGCCTTTGTGAGATGCAAAACTAGTACATACTGCATCCTTATGGGGAGGGCTATGATATCCAGAAAGGGCGTAGGAACATCAAGCGAACGTGGGCGCTGTTCAAAAGACCGCAGGCCTTTCGTCACTCATTGTGGAGTCGCGCAAGTGAGAAACCATCTGAATTTGCAAGCAGCACTACTTATGAGACTACTTACGATGAGACGTTCTCAAGTCTCGTTTGTTGCGAATGAAGGGGCGTGTCAAGCGGGTGGGTTTACGCGACGCCAAACTCGGCCGTTTTTTGGCACTTGAAGCGGACAAACGACAAGAGTGTATCCTATTGTTCGTATCACTCGTTTAACCAAATGTCGTCGCTTACCCGCTTCAACAACGGAAGAACGGGTTTGGCCCCGCGCATAACTCATCCCGCCTGACACGTCCTGTCATCCGCACCGAATACGGCTTTATCATCACAAAATCGTAAAAAAGTGTATGAAACTACAAAATTGTTACAAGATCAACTACGTACGAACTGTTATTACCTGGAATGCCATTTTAACGAGCAACTCATCTTCCTCGCCGAATGTCTTTCTAATACCCTCGCAGGAAATATCAGTAAGAATTTTATCGTTGAAAATCGTAGAGAGATCTGCGTCCTAGAGACCAAAAACAAGAATGGAAAAATACTTTACATTTACTACCCTTTTAAAAATAAAAGTGATAAGACACACTTCCTGTGGCACATGACGAGGACGAGTCAGTGGTGGTCGTATACGTGGCTCCACTTTACGAGTTGTATGGAACCATCCATTAATGGAAAGACGCGGATCGTGGTTAGAGCCCAGCACTTCAGCAACAGAATGCCATGATCTAAACATAGCCATAAAGGTTTCTCCTGGAAATAGCTGTCAGGTTTTTATAGTTTCAGGGTCCACCACAACCGAGGCGCGACATTGTGCGCATACTAACAGAGTACTTTCCAGCTAGACAACTTGGCGCCATACGGCATCGTCACGGCATTGAATGAGTTTTGTGACACTGCAAATAAACCCGCATGTAACGCCTCTTTTGACAAATGGAAGGACGTGCTCATACTTTGCGAATGTGAACAGTCGGAGAATGTGTGATTTGGGAGATTCGGTGACAAAAGGGTAAAATATTGACCTCCAAGGGTGGTTCTTGCCATGTGCGATGCGAGTGGTTCCGCACCGGCAGTAGCGTGCCACTTTCTCCGCCCGAAAAATCTCGTGCATGGGGCTGTAAGGTAATGGTCCCCGGGTGGCATCTCCGTATTCCGCCTGCGCTATCCTCAAGAAGCAGCACTTGCCTCGACACCAAGTCCTCGCAGCGAAACACGTACTCGGCATTAAAGAAAAACCAGAAGTCGGCATAAACAAGAAGCGTACTTTACTATGGCAGGCGTTTGGCTGCCTGTGCGGCAGCGAGGGCGGAGTATGATCACGGCACAGAGGTATCACTATCCTCCCGCCTCGTTTCCGTGTGCTTTTGACCCTAGAAAACGTCACTCTATTGCAGTAGCGGACCCATTCTCTTCACACACTGCAAGTACTAGGATCCACGGAGGTGAGTGTACAGTTTGTCTTTGAGCTTTGTTCACACTGTGCGACCTTGGAATTTCGGCAAAACCACAGAATGGGTTGAACACGCTCTAACAGGGAGAACGGGAGAACTGCGTAAGGGATGCCGAAGAATACAGCTCACTCCAGAGATAGCTATAGTGCAGTTCGCTGCGGACGCTTGGGCGTGTCAGGCGGGATGAGTTTGGCGCGGTGCCAAACCCGTTCTCCACCAGTTGTTAAAGCGAGCAAATGATATGACTGTATCATATCGTTCGTATTACTCGTTTTCTACCACTTTCGCATGCGCGCTTCAACAAGAAGGCAGAGAACGGCTTTGACAGGGTGACACACTCATACTGCCTGACACGCCCAACCGTCCGCAGTGAACTATAGTGTAAATACGTACTGATTTGGTGTACTTCGGCAAAGTGCAGAATGCGAGAATCGAAGAAAACCGGAGGATCGCCGATCCTTCCAGAACGGCCGAATCATCCTCACATGTTGCAGACTGTGAACAGTACCTTGGATAGGAATCCACTGACATCCCGAACAGCGCGTTCTTACTGTTTGAGTAGCCACCGAAGACGCTCACGGAAGGGATCAATCGACTTTCATATCATTCGTGATCTCCATCCTCGAATTCGTTCGAGAACATGTGCGCATTGTAGATTCTCCACCATCGTGCGATTTCTCCGCGTTCGCAAAGTATGAACATGGTCCGAACAGCACAAGCTTGGCAGAGGTGATGCTATTTTGGGTTAGTAACGTGGAATATAAAGAAAAACAACACCGCTCGAACCTTACTTACTAGCCAAGATATCTTGGCTCTCTACCGCAATAAATAAAGAAAGAAAGACTAAATGGACATACTTCTCTGATACTTCGAAAAGGAGCAGCGAATTTCTGGTGACAGGAAGAGACTTGAATATGGTTGTAGGATCACAGTTATCTGAAAAAGTTTTTAATAAAGAGCGACCGATAGAAAGGACGCCCCTAGAAGTCCCTTCCGCTAACAAAAGCGAATAACTGGTTCGGCTGGTACCGCAAAATTGCGCACGCCCACAAGCCGCGTTCACACTTCGCGAATGCGGACAATTCAAAACTCTATGAATTCACAACTGAGAGAAGACAGGATTCGTAAGCGCGAGAGCCTACTGCTTGTAACCCTTAATCGCGCATCCGGCCTCGTACACCTCGAATTCTGTGTACGATTCTTAGATTCTGCGAAGCGGCGATGCCGGGTTGGGGACGATTTGCTATTCCGCAGCTTCCTACTGTCTGCTCATTGTTACAAGAGCGACAGGTATTCTCTGCAAGAGTTGACAAGTTTCTTTACAGACTTACTTTTCATGGCTTCACACAACTTTATGGATTTACTTCATGGCTCAACACGACAATGGAAAGTTGCAAAAGTGCAAAATGCTGCTCCTCCTCCCCCGCGTCGCCGAACAGCGCATCCGCGGAGTCTACTTCTATTTGTGGCCGATTCTCTCGAAACGCGGAGTTCCGACATTCGCAAAATGTGAAACCGGCCGTTAGGCAAATCCACGTGGTGAGTGTGCGCTACACATTAGAAGATTATAAGTTCAGATTGTCAGGCTGCGTACAGTACCCCCAAGAATGGGTGAAGTTAAAAACACTTGTCGTGTCGCTTTGTGTATTTACGACCAACACGATTAATCTCACACACAATTTTCGGGGGTACTGTATGCACCCTAACAACGTGAATTTATAATTCACGATAAACGTAGCCATGAAACACGAAAAAATTCGTAGTTGCTTCGCAAAAGGAAAGCCGAGTACTACAAAGCCTTACCGTCACAATTGTATATGTTGGTCTGACCTCCGTAAGCGTCCGACCACTCAGTTGAGAGATAGAAAACAAAGGCAAATCGCCTATTCTCGACCTTAATAAAACAGCTCACGAAATAAATGAAAATATAGATTAAAAAATCAGACCAGCAAGAGATCCACCTGATCAGAATGTGGTAGAAGACAGTCTGTGGTTCCATAACAACTACCAGTGGCGTCCACTTCGTCTAGTAACTCAATTCCACTCGTATTCTCCAGCCATTCTTTCATTTCTCCACGGAGAAAATCCCTGAAAACATCGCTTTTTGGAAGATTCTTTCGGCTTCAATGTGAGCATTCCCTTGAAAAACACATGAGAATGAGCTATTTTCTCGCATGAGCAGGGTTGCAGTGTAAAAATCGAGAAAGTGTTTGAACGGGACATTTTGCCGCAAATGGCCTCTAATTTTGTGATGTTCAGTTTTTGTCATAATCAGGGTAACTGGTACAAAATGCAAGTCGTCTGGTGCAGTGCACATCATCATTGGGGTTAAGCAACAGGGAAGGGGGGGTCGGATTCGCTTGCTGTTGGGAGAGGGAGCAGGTCGTATTTGCTTACCGTTTTCCCCGTTTCACTTGAGCTATAGCCCCTCCCCCTCTCGCTGGATAGCTCGGTCGTATCAGAGAAAACTGGTGGGCTGGGGGGGAGTGGGTCGCATATAATCGACCAAAATTCCCTAACCAATGACATTCCCTGTTCTGGCAAACTCTTCGGGCTTCCATGGGCTCTCGCTGGCTACAGCACTACTGCAGCTTTGCTGAGGACCACTGCTTAAATGAGTGAATGACGAATAAAGAAATCGTCAAAGGCACCTACCGCGCTTGAACTTGGTGAGTTGCGCGCTTCAAACCTATGAAAAGAAGGTGAATAACACAAAAGAAAGGAAAAGGCAGGAAAACTCAGACCGAGGTGCCCCGAATACAACAGCAGAACGCTCTTGTAACAGAATGCGAGGAAGGGCGTGTTCGGACAACTCTCATTCGTTCGGATCAACTCTTTCGTCTATCGCCTTACAGCGGAATGGAGAGAGCAAGCAGTGAAACAACGCTGCACCACTAATCCTTCAGGCTGCGTTCATACTTTGCTTCTGTGTTTTGAGCGTACGGTAATACTTTGAGCGTTTCGAGCATATGTCAGCGTTTTCAGCGACTAGGAAAGTATAGATATAGACTTGGCCTTGACCGTACGCCGGCGTTTCGAGCGTTTCAGTGGCAGTTTCGAGCTTTAGGCGGGCTCTTGCAGAGAATGCCGGCGTACTTTGGATCGATACATATATTTTCATAGCTGGTCAAAACGCTAATAACGCTGACGCATAGTATGAACGCTTCAGAAATAAATGTTGGGCGTTAATTGGTCACTGGGCGGGGTCGTGGCCACGTTGCGAGCGAATCGCGCTCCCTCCAATTGTCGAGTTACGAGAGTAGCACATGCATCATGGTTGTACGCAGGACTACGTGTTCAATGAAGCAGATGCATATCAAATGAACGCGGAGCGTGCCCTCAAATCTAATTTTCCATCAAAAAAGCTCAAGCAAACGAAACAGTGAGTCCAGCAATCGCGAGGGAATGATGCTAGAGAAAATATCAAGAAAAAGGGAAATTCGCCTCACCAGAATGCGCCTAGAGTTGGGTACTCTTGTGCATTGATCGACTTCAGATCAGGAGTTTGATATAGAGAGTACAAATCGTTTTCTTTGCGATTCCATCCTTTATATTCAATAAGTTCTTTATGAAGACGATTGAACAGCTCAGGCGCTATGGCCAAGAAAGTAGTCAGATGCCAATGAGGAAACGGTTTCTTGTCTGAAATATAAGGTTTTTAGACAAACAGAAGCGAAGTAAGGAAAATTTGCGAAATTCTAGAGTAAAAGTAGCCTTTAAAGGCCGGCGCATAGTCAAGGTAACTCTTTATAATGTTTGCTTACGGATATACCAGGTCGAACTCGTGGATAAAACCGTAGATAATGGTGGGCGCAGTTCGGCGACCGGGTTAGGGGGAAGGGGTGGTATTTCGCACATTTGTTACTTCCCGTCGACGTGTCGAGCTATCAAGTGGAGACCTGTGGAATATTGCGCACCCACTACCTCACATTTTGTACAGACCACCTATCAGCTCTTGTCAAGTACAACTCTTATATATAAAATACGGTAGAGATGCCATTTTCCATGGTGGCTCCATGTGAGCCGGTTTCTCGTGAAACTTCACAGGTTTCACCAGAGACTTGTAAACAGGAACTAGTTGAGCAACGGAAGCGCAAAATGCCTCTCCCCTGCCACTGAGCTGCACCTCATTTCGGGTTGGAAGGTAAACGTAAAAACCGCTACACTTTGATTACTAACGACAGAAAAATGCGTGACGTCTTCCAACACCACTGTACTGTACTTATAACTGTTCCCCAAAACCAGAACAGAAGACGGCGCTAATTTAGTAGAGCGGGTCGCGCAGCAGCATCTCTGCGGGCTCTCCCCAGCCAAGGGGCTTAGTTCTCATTTGATGCTCCATGTTTGTATGAACCGATCGGTGTTGGTGACTTATGGGCAGCTAACGGATCGCTGGCTTCGGTCGCTTTGCATCGACCAAAACGCTCGTATGCGCGACCAGAATACCCCAAATCGCAAAGCAAGAACGCAATCCAAGCCTAGCTCCGCGCGTGGCGCCGCTCAACCGCATTAGTACCTTGATGGGCGGACGGTCTTCAGGACCACGCGACGTCGCGTGCGCGGCAAACTGCAAGCGCTGCGGATGCGTTATTGAAATAGATTGTCTTCGCTCCTTTCAGCCACGCTTTTCACTCCAAGTCCTGAATTATGCCGTTTGGATTTGTTTTGCATAAATAGTGTGATTACATAACAATTATTGCAGCGAAATCTTTGCAGACTCTGTTCTCAAGCTGATTCAGCTTACCTGCTGCTCCCTAATCATCCGACTCTCAGAATGGTTTCTGAACAGCATGCTCTCAGAGAATGTACCTACTGTCGTAGTGATGAGGTACAACAGACCGTGCGATTGAAAAAAAGGCAACGAAATGTCGCAAGAACCAAACCATCGTGAGCGCGCGCCCATCGCAACCATACTTTGCAATTGTCGCACGTGACGCCGTGTGGTCCTACCACCACATAACCACACTGGTGACGTGAGCCCACCTCATCGAGATTATATGCTCCGGCTGCCTCCAGCTTTCTTAATTAACAACGTCCATATTTACGTAAACTCATCGAAGGATATTTCGACAACTAATCAGCAATGTTGTTGTCCTCAACTTTATTCTTAGTTTTGCGGTGTCACAAAAGCATCCAAATGAGGGCTTACCTTTAAGTGCGGAGCGAAATTCCTTTACAAACTCCTGAGACGAATAGTGAGGATTGACGGCGAAACGTGATAGATACAGGCGGATCTTCTTTGCACACTGCCTCACCCTCGCCATGATCTATAACTTTTTTTCTTAGGATGTCCAAGACTTTATAAGCAAAAGCGGTAGGTACATGCTAAACAACTACGAAACAGGTAAAATTAGACTCGACAACCGTGAATCGACATGATTTGTCCGTGCCTACGACCGAAATGATAGAAAGCACCAAGAAGGAGCGATGAGGGGTGCCCTCCAGGCACATCGTTGTTGGGGAATCCCCAATAGGGGGGTCGTATTTGGTCGCCAGGAGAGGGGGGGTCGTATTTGGGCTGGGAAAAATTTATTTTGATAGTTGATTTTTCTCGCTTCATGGACGTTGTAAAGGGGGGAGGGGGTCGTACTTGGTCATTGTTGGGAGGGGGGTCGTATTTACGTTTTGGCGTTGTAGGAGCGGTGGTTGACTTTTTGTGATTTTCCTGTTTCATGCGTACTATATACCCCCCCCCCCCCCCCCGCTCGACGGCTCGATTCGATGAGGAGGGACAGAGGGCCGGAGGGGGGAGGGGGGTCGTACCAACCCCAAAAAAAGGGGGGTCGTACAGACTCGACCAAAATCCCCAACCAATGATGTGCCCTGGTGCCCTCGCCAGCCCAAACCTGAACGCTTCGGATATATCGCTTGGAGTTTCCTGTCGCTAGCTCTCTTTTACGACTGAGAGAGGGCGCTGAGGAGTGGACCTAGTAGCGCCCCAGCGCGTCCCCTCAGGAGTAGTAGAAGAGTGCCCCGAAGACCAAATCAGCTAGATCCAGCCTTTTCTTCCGTTATCTGTCTTTCTTTTTTGTTTATGTGCATTTGGCGCCAAGTGTAGATCGGGTGGTAGGTGGGGAGGGTAAGCTGCGCGCTGCAACGTGCACTATGTCCAAGACGAGGTCACGTCATCTCTAGTGATCTGCGCCTTGCTAAATCTCAAATCTCAACCTTGGTTGGGGGGGGGGAAAGAAAAACGTACTTTCTGGAACTACTTTCTAGAATTACCATATTACCAAAGACACAGAAATTCGGGACGGGTCAAGACTACCGCAATCTAGCCGCTCTGTCCCGGCGGTGTATTTTTTAGTTTGCACAACCTTGTCGATCGCTGCACCAAACCAAATTCTTGGTAGACTACGACATTGTAGACATTTATAGCCACTTTTTGATCGCACCTCAAGCCTCTTTATTTGCGGATGCGACGTCGCCTCGCTAAAGCGGCAAATTACGGGGTAAAGTCAAATACCTCAGAAATTCACTGCAGCATGTCACGAAGTAAGCCGAGTTACGTAGTAGTGACGAGTATCGATCAGTTCCAACGTAGTAGTGACGAGTATCGATCGGTTCCAAAGGGCGTCCTCGCACGCAGAAACCTTTTTCGAAAATGGCGCGTTTTTTTACGCACGGTCTTTGTGATACGCGACGTCGAGGCTATCGTAATACTACATTGAATTTCAATCAGCAGTGAGAAAATGTTCGTGCGCGGAATACGGTTTAGGTTGGCGATTTGAGCAGCGGATTTCATGTGAATACGAGCGAAGGGTCTTAAACACTGAAACCATAATGACCGTTGGCCGGACAATACGACTCGTTCCTGTTCGTGCGCGACGTCGCTTGCCATGGCCATAGTATGACTGCACGCCCCTCTTTTCGAACTACGTTAATACCCGTTTCAAACGTGTCTTTCAAAATCTCTCAAAATTCAAGCCATTGCTGGGGCCGTATGCTATTCTCCCCCTCGAGGGGAGGGGTCCCCTCTAGGGGAAGACACCCCAGGGGGACGTCCCCTAGAGCGGCCGTATGCTATACTCGAGGGGATCCCCGAAGCGGTAGAGACGCAGAGTTGGCTGGCGCAAATTTGGGGGAAGGGTCGTCCGTACATCCAGCCTCTGGCTTTGCACTTTGACATTTCGGAGAATCTCAAGCTAGACTGATGATTATCAATTGCAATCATTTGCCCTGCTATCATATATTTTCAGGCTGAATTGTGTATTAATCAAGGTCATAGGGGTGACCACATTAATTTTTTCAACATTCTTGAATCCGCGTTCAATAAAATACTTTCTCAGTCTAAATTTTCGAAAAGTAGGAAATCTCTAGATTGAAGGGTGGCTGAATCTGTCCCACCGTAAGAACGACATGTTATCCACTATCTTAGTGGCCCTGTCTCTATCACTATGTTCTCCGCTCTCCGAACGCGCACTCATTTTCAGTATGGGCAATGCAACAACATATTACATACATAAAAATGAATTTCACCTCGTGACTGAGGTGATCCTATTTTTCTCATGGTTTTAACTGTACACTAGTGTTGTTTTTCAAAGCTGCTTCGTTGTTGTTGCAAACGCGCGAGTTTTCTTCTTTCAAAGAGGCGACCTCTGCATGGTTTGGGCAGCAACCGTTGTGAACTCATACAACTTGTATTATTATTGTATATAATATACGGCCTACATTATTATTGTTATAATGCAATCATATATATTTTATATTAGAATTGAATATGTTTTATTAAGATTGAAAAGAAAACGTTCACGTTGGCTAAAAAGCTATAATAAATCCTAAGAAAGAAGAAATGATCATTTTTGAAAGTGTAAAAGTGCGGTCAGACAATAGCATAGAATAGCTCTCCAAACACTGTGTAAAAAGTAATGAGATGAAAAAAAACGGTAGAGTGGTTAGGAATGTTTCTGTAACATGAAAAAAAAGAAAAGTTCAAAACAAATGCGAAATAAACTAAAAAACTGTTCCAGGGGATGTCTTCCCCAACACTTGTTGTTGGGGGAGCTCTCCCCCTAATTTGGTAGGCGTGGCGTCTCCCCCAAAGCCTTCGGGGGAAGTGTAGCATACGGGGAAGGGGACCCCTCCCCTCGAGGGGGAGTATAGCATACGGCCCCTGGAGGTGGGCGGTTATTGCCAGCGACATTGGTGGAATGGCTGCGAAGGGACGTTTGGCCACACCTCCTCTGTCCTTCCAGCAATGACGTTGGCGACAACCACCCGCTCCCGCCATCGCGCCTGCTCCCTTTAAAGGCACATTCCGCGATAAAATAAGGCTATGACCTCTCAAATGTGTCGGACGATCCGGAAGGCGATTTTTGAGGCTGCGCTACTTTCAAAATGTGAAAAACGGCAAGAACTCCGCTAGAAGCTGACTAATTAGGCCCATGGACACCCCTTAGGCCCATGCCGACCCTCACCGGCTGCTAGCTACTAGCTAGTAGCCACTATGTGCTTTTTCTGCTGCTTTTCTCCGCTAATCAGATACTTAGCACTTTTTTGTGCCTATTTGAGTTCCGTTTCCCGCAATTTGCGGTCGCGAACTGTGCCTTTAATGTCGAATCAGAACATTCTGTGTATTTCGCTTTATTCGAGTACTCAAAACGAATGCAATGACGGACAGAGACGGGAATAATCATTACAGGACTTTTATGAGAATAAAATAATTAATTTTAATATCGTAATGAAGCTCATCAAGCGAAAGTTATTCAGGAGTCTTATATCTAAAAGCCAAATAGGAAAGACGAATGAACGACAAGTGCTCACGAGTGGGAATCTCGTACAAAAATGGGCGTGTCATGTAGAAACACATCGATGCGGACAGTTGAAGGGGTAATGGCAAAGGTGGGCGTGGTTTGGTGGAATTCTAAGCTATTATCAAGCGAATAAGTGCATTTAAGTAAACCTCAACGCTGGTGGCGCAATGTGCTTTGAAGAAGGCTGGTCTGCAATATTTCGTCAGGCTACGGTAGCACTAATCGCAGGCTACCGTAGATCTCATAGAAAATGGCAGACTACCCTTCCGAGGGCTAATGCCGTTTGGACTCCAGAACTTCGGCACCGAGCTCATTTTAAAAGTGGCAAGATCACCAAATCCGCTAAAAACTTGTATATAGGGGTAATTCAACATCCTGATCACGAATATGACATTCATTTGGCGCTGGCGCTAATGGATGACACTACGGTTACCTGCGCTCTGCTAAGGCTGAGCCCAGGAGGTAATCGTAGTGTCCTCTCTTGGCGCCAGCGCCAAGAATGAGTGTCATACTTGTAATCAATAATTACCCTATATTCCAAGTTTTATTTCTCGTGGTCCTCGAGCTGAGGAGGAGTTCATTGGGCAACTCGTTAGCACCGTTGCAGGGGAGACGAACTGGAAGACGGTTATGGCCCCGCTCGAGGAAACTCGAGATCAACGGGACACCGGTGATACAGGTGGATATACAAGTTTTTAGTGGATTTGGTAACTTAGGCAATTTGAAAATGAGCTCGGTGCCGAAGTTGTTGGAGTCCAAACGGCATTAGCCCCTTCCGAGGCACACTGCGTCCACCCGAGTTTCTACGAGCTTCGGCTATCAATGTGGAGTCTATAGAATCCAAGGTAGGGTCGCGATATCTTACACGCTTATTCTCAAAGATACTAAAAATATGAAATGTGAGTAAATATTGAGAAAATCAAGGAAATAGGGGGACGAATAGGGACTGTATGCTGAAAAGAGTACGATCGAAGGTTTCAAAAATTCGATGTGTTCTACTTGTCTTTTGCCGTTCGACTGAGTGCTTCAATGATACGATTTTCTATCCGCCACCTGGAATGATTTCCACGAATTGACAGTCTTGTTTGTTGCGGATGCTGCGGCGCGTCGGGAGCCGGATTTGGCGCGACACCAACCCGTTTTCCACAACTTGTAGCGGACAAGCGACAAGAACTTGGTGGAGAACGGCTGGTGATGTGCCAAACCCAGCCTCTGCATTCTCAACATCCGTAGCGAGCAACAGGTTGCGTTCAGATTTTATGCAAACATCAGCGTTTGCTGATGCGTTTTGTCCGGCAGTGCCAGCGACTACGAAATTTAGATATCTATCTAGCGTCCGCCAGCGTCTACCAGCGTCTACCAGAGTTCACCAGCGACTGGCAGCGTCCACCAGCGACCAGCAGCGTCTCGAGGGCTAGGGAAGTATAGGTATCGATCTAGCGACCAGCAGCGTCTGCCAGCGGCTACCAGCGTCCACCAGCGACCAGCATCGCCCAAGCGGACAGCTAGAA